AAAATACCCCCTTATCAGTAACTAGCTTTACACTTATTTATTTAAACGATTATTTCCTTTTTTGGGTGGCGGGTACCAGGGATTGAACTCAGAGGCACTAGGCCACTGAGCCACAAACCCAGCCCTATTTTCTATTTTATTTAGAGACAAGGTCTCACTGAGTTGCTTAGGACCCTGAAGTTGCTGAGGCTGGCTTTGAACTCACGATCCTCCTTCCTCAGCCTCCCATGCTGCTGGGATTACAAATCTGCACCACCATGGTGGACTAGATTGTACACAAACTTCACTTCCTATTTCCTATATAGCCAAATCTTAGTAGCATTTATCTTTCTGGGTAACACTCCTATAAAAATAACAGATTTGGGGCTGGGTTTGTGGCTCAGCGGTAAAGTGCTTGCCTAGTATGTGCGGGACACTGGGTTCGATCCTCAGCAACACATAAAAATAAATAAAGGTATTGTACCCAACTACAGTTAAAAAATAAATATATTAAAAAAAATGACAGATGCCACTCAGTATTCTCTACACAATGACTGACATTCAACAAATACTGGCTGCAAGAATATTAAGTTGGGCAGTAACCATTAGTGAAAGATCACTAGATGTGGAATTAGTAAATCCACATTACAGTTTGGCCTCACCTCAAGTAATATGTCCTTTTTTTAAAAAAAAATTTTTTTTTAGAGAGTGAGAGAGTGAGAGAGAGAGAGAGAGAGAGAGAGAGAGAGAGAGAGAGAGAAAGAGAGAGAGAGAATTTTTTAAAAAATATTTATTTTTTTAGTTTTCGGCAGACACAATATCTTTGTTTTTGTATGGACTTTTTTTTAAAAAATCAATTAGTTTCAGAGTTTTATGGAACTTAGTGTAGTCATATAAATATTGTTTATTTTTCATTCCTTTTTTTTCAGGGTTAGAGTTGAACAGAAGGAAAGTTAGTAGTCATATTCAAGATAAGTCTTGGGAAAAAGTTACTGAAGTAAACAAGGGGAAAGCAGAACTGCAGATAGCAGAACACTGAAAAATGCGTGATCACAGTTTGGGAAAGTGCTATACTGAGGTCAAGGAGAATAGTTTTTTAAACAACAGAAGTATGGTGAATCTGTGAGGTTAGAGAGATGGTGGAGGAAAGGGATTCACCTATGGATGAAGAAAATTCCAAGGAGGACTGAGGTTTCTGAGCTGGAACAACGACCAGCTGGGAGATGGTCAGTGTGTCCTAATATGGAGGCAGCCAGATATGGGTGGGATAAGGGGGGAGTGCATAGTGGAGAAACCTGGGAATCTTACTGATAAGAACACGTTTATGTTCCATCTGAAATGGAGATCCAGGTGGAGGACTACCTAAAGAAGCTATAAGAAACAGGTACCTAGCACTTGTCCTCGACCTAAAAGACTAGATTTGGCAGGTGGCTCAAACCATGGGAGAAGATAAGTAGGGCCACTGGAAAAAACCAAATCTGAAGAAGAAATATGGAAATCACGGGGTTAGGAAGAAACTGCCCTTCTTTGGAAAGCTAATGATCTAATATCTCGTATTTGCCTCCTCTTTCTTAAGCATTCTACGTAGTCGTAGCATTTTTCAACTAAGCAGCCATTTCCAAAGAAATCCTCTCAATTACATTTATATAATGACACTTGAATGAAGTGAATATAAGACTATTCCATTGTATACCAAAATCCAAATACCAATGAAGAGCATATCAATAGCTTCTGGTAATTTTTTTAGCTAACAATTTCCTTTATGCCTATTTCTTGAAGGTGCAGGGATGGCATTTAAAATAGCTTTAAAGAAAAAGTCTAGCCAGGTGTGGTGCCTCATGCCTGCAATCCCAGCAGCTCAGGAGGCTGGGACAGGAGGATCAGAACCAGCCTTAGCAATTTAGCAAGGCCCTGAGCAACTCAGACAGACCTTGTCTCAAATTTAAAAAGGGCTGTGGAGGGGCTGGGATTGTAGCTCAGTGGTAGAGTGATTGTCTCACATGTGTGAGGCACTGGGTTTGATTCTCAGCACCACATATAAATAAATGAATAAAATAAGAGTCCATTAACAACTAAAAAAAAAAGGGGGGCTGTGGATGTGGCTCAGTGGTTAAGTGCCTGTGGGTTCAATCCCTGGTACCAAAAACAAAACAAAACAAAACAAAACCAAAAAAAAAAAAAAAAAAAAAACCCAAACCCTCGAATTCTATGGACAATATATATGAGAAAGTAAAATTATATTAGACTAGCCATTAGGATTAATAACCAAAGCCCAGTTTTTGTTCCAAAGTTAATTTATTTTTTCTTTGCTATTTTATATTCCTTTCTAATCTGTCCTCACTGTCCAGGGATGGCAATAAATAAAATGAAGGTTGTCAAGGGATTTGTTTCAAAACAGTTAAACCCAGAATAAGACAGTAACAAGAGGTTTTTAAAGAGACAGTTGCTTGATTCTCGTTTAGACTAAGGCACAGCATCAAGCATGGTCACTGCTCCTTAATACAATGAGAATACTGTATTGGGGAAAATCTGACCTTTACTTTTAACAAATCCATGAATGTTTTGCATTTGGAATGTTTAAAAAAAAATCTTACCAACTTAGAGCTCTCAGCAAAGAAATCACCTACAATAAACATAAAGAGAGCGTGGTCAATGTATGCCTTGGTGGTGAATGTATGCCTTGAAAAGCACAAAGCTATCTAGGTCATCAGCTTACTACCACTTGGTTGAAGTTCCCTTTGTTCTCTATTTCATGCTGGGGTCACACATTCTGGGAGGTAAAACCTCTCAGAAATTGCCTAAGTAAAAAAGCTGAATTCTCCAAGAAGTATTTCAAAGCATAGGCTTTGAAAGAAGACAAGCCGCTTTAAAATCCAAACTCTACCCACTCACTAGTGGGGTGATCCTAACAAGTTTCTATATATACAAGGGGGTCACAGTTTTATATACCTGAAGGACTGCTGTTAAAGACTATTGAGGCTGTTACCATGGGAAACAAACCTCAAATGGTTTCTTCTATTGTTTGTATCAATTTGAGCTCTGACACTTTATAAGGGCTACTTCCCCAGTGTATCTTAAATTATAAGTTAAATAAAAGTCAAGCTCCCGAGGCAGCAAGGTATAAATACAAATCAATCAGTACTGAGAAAAAGGTTTTATAGTTATGTCTCACCAAAAGAATTAAACAATCCTAGTTATGCTGTAATAAATTTACTTGATATTTTGTACTCAATTAGTCTAATGTTAAAGACTTAACCCAGTCACAGAATACATGCTAATAAAATTTGTTCAACCTGAGATTTAAATTAATAATGTGGCTTAGTAAACACAAAATTCATGTGGACTGAACATTAATAAAGCTCTTACTCCTCTTTAGAGTCTCAAAGTTGCATTGTTTAGAATAAAATATTCTTAATTTACTTGGGGAAATTTTTTCATAGGTTGCTGAAACATATCTGGATTAATTTAACTCAACATAAAAAGTTTCCAAAAAATTGTGTAACTAAAATATCCCAGGTAATACTCTCATGTGAAATTTCAACAAATTCCAACTGAAAACAAATAAAAAACTGTGGGATAAAGCATTGTTTTGCTTTTAAACCACTTCCTGTCCTTGTCAATCACTGCTTTACAATTACCTAAGTCAAAAAGGGATTATGGTGTAAACGATAAAGTATAAAATAGGACTACTATAATAGTTTTTCACTCAATAAGAACTGTAATAAATACACTATCAGTGACAAAAAGTTTTTAACAGCTAACAACATTTTCTCATTTCAATTTAGATCCATGTCCTTGATTTCTTATAGGAATAACAATTATACAGTTTAGACATGACTGAATTTTACAATGATGTGCACATGTCTGTGTAAAATCTTTTATGATTAAGTCTTAATTTTTATCATGACCTGGAGTTTGTTAAAATCAATTTAGAGGCCAGATGGAGACTGTCATCTGAAATGGTATGCCTCATTTGCTTTCTTAGCCCTCTTCCTTTCTTGCCAATAGGCATCACCTCTCTGAGTCTTCCACATTTTTGTTGTTTTTATCAGATGTTCTCTCTTGAATTAAAGCTTAAAGACTCAAGGGTCTACATTATAACACTGTGCATGAGTTACATGTTTGATATGAGTTGATATAAAATAAAATATATTACTCAAAGAAAAATATTGAATGACATAATATTTGGAAATATTTTATATTTAACACAGGTAATAATATTTTATTACCTAGTTGCATCTAATAAGTTTGTCATGATCTGATGTTATGTTGGGCTTATCATGGTAGGACAATGATCTAAGAAATTAACAGTGATTTAAACTATTAGAAACTGACAGAAGAGTTACCACTGGAACACAGTAAAAGTAGTGGAAAACTTCATGGAAAATAAAGTGGAGTTTTAAAAAAATTCTACTGATGTTCTGGATAAAAACAGTGACAAAAACTTTTTCACATAAGAATCACGGATTTAGAGAAGAGTCATCTGTAAATCTATGAGTTCTCTGAGTGGACCAATCTCAATCTAAAAGGAGAAAGTGAAAGGAACCAAAGGCCAAAAAGGCTTCCAGGTTTAGTCTAATAAAGAAGATAATTCAAATTGGCACGTGTTTCACCAAAAAAGTAGAAGTTCTCGGTGTGCTAGATAGGAGTCTGAAGAAATTCTGATGTACTTCACTTTTTATTTGGTGGATAGGGGCACAAATAAAGACCTCCAATGAGGACATTACATCATTACAATAATTAAGAAGTGAAGAAGATATCCTCATGATCACTAAGATATTAAACAATGTCTCCTTATTTTTTGGGGGGGTGGGGAGGGTTACCAGGAATTGAGCTCAGGGACACTTAACCACTGAGCCTTGTTCTCACCAGAATCTTGCATTTTTTTTAGAGACAGTTGCTTGGTGCCTCACTGTTGCTGAAGCTGGCTTTGAACTCATGATCCTCCTGCCTCAGCCTCCCAGGCCCCCAAGGTTACAGACATGCACCATTGCACCCAGCTCTCTTTATCCATTTTTGTTTTTAATATGGAATGCTTCACGAATGCGCCTATCATCTTTGCGCAGGGGCCATGCTAATCTTCTCTGTAAATTGTTCCAATTTTTGTAAATGTGCTGCCGAAGCCAGCACTCCTCATCTATTTTTGAAAAATAACTTTTAAACTCTGTTTGTACTAATATTGTTGACTTACATGGCCAAAAACTGGAATCCATATTACTTATTAGGGCAGCTCTAAAAACACAGAAGTAACTAGACAATGTACCATTTCAACCCTTCCACAGAATTTGTAGTGCAGCTAACATTCTTTAACGTACTTCAAATGATGGCAATCATCTGAGTTTTCTGCTTCACATTTTAAACTTCTCTGTTGTACAGGAAGAGTTTATAAAAGGTTTAAACATGAAACTGATTTTTTAAAAAAATGACCATGAGACCAAGGTAAATGATGTTCAAAGATGACAACTTGCAAGGTACACTGTTGACATGATCCAAGTGGGCCACTAAATTCCCTTCCAACACAAATGTATAATTCTAGACTCAAGGTAAGCTGTGAGAGGTGGTAATGAATAAAAGGGCTTTTTATCTGGAGTCACACCTAGGCTTGAATCTCAACTCCATTACTTTAAAGATACTGACTTCAGGCAAGCTATTCAGCCTCTCAGGAGATAAAAACAAGACTAGGTAATGGGACTCAGTGAGATAATACATTAGTGTCTGGCTCATGGTAAACACTTAATATGTTACCCATATAACTTGTAGTGGTAAATTACAGTGGCCAAAATTTAAACATCATGAAATGACTTAAAATAGGTGATCTATTTCTACATTTGTTTCTTGCTTCTAATTGTATTTAATTTCTGATATTCTTTACAGATACTGATTTATGGGATGCTACATTCAGAGGGATTTTAATATATTTAAATATTTACCAGACACTGCAGTTATAATGTCAACTAAACATAACCCTAGGGTTAGAGCTTACATTTTTACATACCGAAGACATACAAATTATAGATATGGCAAATGCTAAGATASGGCAAGATTTTAGAGGATGTTTGGGGAACAAATAATATCTAGAGTCAGGAAAAAATATTTAATAGAGAAAGTGTCATAGCTGGGTGGAGAAAAAAGAACATTTAAAAAATTGTTCCAAGTAGAAAGAACAGGGGGATGGGAAATGGGACAGAAATGGGATGAAGAGACACTCATCAGACTGGCAGACTGGCAGCACTTTGTTCAGAGAGCTGCGGGAGATCAGGGAAATGAAAATGCAAGGAGAGCCCTAGGCTGCAGGGAACAGGTGTGAGTGCCTAGAGCACACGTCTGCCTACAGCATGAAGATAAACACAGGCACTAATGTGCTCTTGGTATAAGGAACAATGCTAGAAGAGGGTATGGACAGCATCCTGAGGACTCCAAAAATATTTAGAAGGGCAAACAGAAAAAAAGCCTGCCAAGGAGTCTGAGTAGAAACTACCAACAAGGTGCAAGAAGAAAAATATGAAGGGACAGTATCACAGATGTCAAAGTATCACACATCAGTCCAAATTACAAACCATTCACCTATCAGTATTAACTTTAGTTTTTAATTAAACATTTTTAAAACTATTGAAAAGCTACTTATCAACCACAACTCCAACGATGAACATTATATATGTTCACAAAGTCAGGAAAGGAGGATATAAATGCTGAGATAGTAACTGTGTTAAAAACTTGGTCTTACTGTCCAAACTTTCCATAGTTTTAATCTTGAAAAGTCAGATATATTACTACTAAAGAAGTTAGGATACAAATGCATTATCAAGAAGAATAAAACTATGATCTTCATATTCTGATGGGACTTATGAAATTATTTGTATATTCTTAATCATGACACTGAGAAAATTGAGTTTCTACTTATCAGCAAACAAATTCAATTTAACTGAAAAGCAAACAAATTCTTACGGTTTTTCACTTGTACTTATTTTAAGCAGTATTATTACTGTAGATTTAACTTTAAACCCTATTTGAACACACAGGAACCTTATTACAAATACTTAAATATAGGGAACAGGTTATAAGGTTTGGAGCTCATATGAGAGAAAAATTAAACAACCCAAAGGGTATATACAAAGGTTCTCGTAAGAAAACCTCATGTATCAATAGTGATTCTTTCTTTTCCTCCCTCAAATTCTTAAAATAGGCATAAAAGAGGTTTCTCAATATAATTATTCAAAACTAAGGACAAATGAGAAATTCTCATGAAGAATTCAGTAGGGAGTTTTATATCTAATAATATTTCCAACTTCTACATGGAACATTGGCAGCTCAAGAAAATTTTTTTAAATGCCRTCTAGTGTTTGCTATTTAAAAATTCTGAATATTAAGGGGTGAGTTCCTTAATGGTTATACTTAATACTAATAACATTAATATATAATATTAATATAATACTTAATACTATAGTACTATTCTAGTAAGTACTAGACCTTAAAAATATGTATATATCTAATACACATTTGTGCTTACAACCATAAACATTAATTCTGAACATATTTTCTAATGCACAAAGTAATTTTGAACAGTAAGCAACTTACAACATGTATTTTTGGTCAACACTCTAAAAGATGACATTTTAGTAGAGGATGACTCATTGCTATTTAAGTTCAAGGTAAATCAAATTTATTCACACCTTCATAAAATATAAAATCCTTTGTCTTACCACTTCAAGTAAGCCAGGGTCACTCTGCATATAAGCACTCTGAGAGTCTATGCTCCAGTCAGAAAGTTAGATCTGAATCCTAGCTCCCACTCAATGGCCACATGACTTGAGCAAGTTACTTAACCTATATAAGCTTTTGATTTCCTTTTCTGTTAAACTGAAGATATTGATAGTATCTAAAAGTTAAATGAGAAAATGTGCCAAAAATACTTAGCACAGTGCCTGACATAATAACCACTCAGTAGCAAAACTGAAACTCCTTTGTGGAGAAATCCAATCAACACTTGAGCACAGGGTCTGAAACTATGAAATTCCTAAGCCAGAAGCAGCCAGGCTCTGATCTGTCCCATCATTCTTATGGTTACTTAAAATAAGCTAGTCTTGGATAAATATCACTAAGAATCATTATAATTGTTGAAAATTTCTCTCATATACCACTTACGTGAGTGCCCAATAAGGCTTGTCCTTTTAGGCACAAAATATTCCCTAGCAATATTAACTGTTTTGAAAATCTGACAAATGCTCTGAACCCTTCACAGAAACCTAAACATATGAAAAATGCTACCCCATATTCCAGAGTTTCCAATACTCTGAAGCCCTACTAAATATGGATATCCTAGAGAAATTATTCTCCTTATAATCATTTATGTAGATTTGTTAAAGAAAATAAAGAAAACAGAAAAGTATACAGGATAAGAAACAACTTATTGTTGTATTTCCTTCCAGACTTCAATTGATCCAAATACTAATTTAAGAAACTTTAGAGAATATGATAAACATGAAGCTATGGAGTACTATATCAAAAATAATTTAGAATATTATTCAAAAGATAGAATGGGTATGAGTGCATAGAAGGAAGAAAATAACCCACCTCTGGTTAAGTTTGAAATACATACTGCCTATTTAGTTGGCTAGGCCTTTTGCCCCCCACCCCTATTTTTTTTACTGGTTTATTATAAATATACATAATGGTGGGAACTTTTTGGACAATAAAGAACTTCAAATAATTTTTGATGGTAACCACATTTTAGTAATATTAATTCTACAAATATAATAATTGGACATAAAATTTAACCCAGATTCTTTTTCTTCATTTGCAAAATATGATGATTTTCAGTTTAAAATTTTAAATCTTGAGCTAAMTTCTATTATTCTAACAGCACCCCCCCATTACAGCTGTGTAAACAAAAGCAAAATAAAAATGTACACAAAACAAGTTAAAATTTATTTTTCTTCTAGGAAGAGTACAATTCTGAGAGGAATTAATTTTCAGGGCATACGAAAAAAAGTGTATTGACTTCTAATATATCATTTTCAGGTGACACTGGTATCTTAGGTGTTCTTGATGTAAAAATTTTGGCTTTCTTTTAGAAACATTTAGAAGAAAATTGCCTTTTTATCAAGAAAGTAAAATCCCCAAAAGCATTAATAAAATTAATCTAAGCTATATTTTATGAAGAAATGGACTTTTAAAAAGAAAAATGATATTATTTATCAAATATCTCCTGGAATAATAATTCGAAGTATTTTGGGCTCTCCACTATGCTGTAAGCATCTACAGCAGATCCAACAGCAACATTTAAAAATTTTTATGTAATTCAGGATTTCACTTTCTTTTTAAAACTGATGYATTTATTGAACACCACTGCAAAGATATGGCCTTAAGCCTCATATAATAAAGATTACATACTCCAAGTATTTAAAATTTCAAATTTTAACTTATATTTAATACTATACTCTTAGTAATACAATGTGCTCATTTTGTTCATAAATAGTCATGTCAATACAATAACATCAGGTATAATACATAAAATCTAATCCATTAAGTCTTACCAATTTATGACCTGATGAGACACTCTTGTGGACAACATTCAGTCCTTAGAAGCTAGAATAACCCTCCAACCATGTGAGGGCATCACAACTTTTAAACTTTCGGCTTTCGATCATTATTATGTCACATTCCTCCTCCGATGCTGAATTCTAAAAAAAATTCTAGCAAAGAGTTTAAGTAAATAAGTGTTTTAATAAAATAGCCTTTAAAAATCTTTTATAGCAAAATTTTATGTTTTACCATGATTACACAACTGATATTTTGTACTTAATATTTTTAAATGTAAAGTAATTTCATATTTGATTTGGTTACTTTGAACTTTAAATTTCAACATGGACTTTCAAGGCCATCAAGAATACTTGTTAGTGAAGACTCAACTAGAAATGGAACCAATTAAAGGTTTAAGATCATGATCCAGAAATTATGATTTAATACCACATAATCTGATGTAGAAAGTTTTGTGGTCCTATAGAATGGCATTTGAGTTCTACTTTGGGTCCACATCCACAGAAAAGATTTTCGAATTAGAGCTGGATCAGTTATGATATATGTGAATCATTAAATGCTTACAATAGCATTTGATTTTTATTCTTAAATCT